GGGCATATGGCTCCTCCCTGTAAAACCTTGCTATATGGTAATGGCTGGGGACACCAGTAATGAAGCTGGATCTGCCATCAGTTTTATTAAATGTGAATTCACACCTATCCTGACTCCTCTGAAAAACCTGTCACTAGTCACCTGTCCTTACGGCTAGGTTCCCATCTTGAAAGGGCAAGTAGTACCTGAATAAAAAAACACAGTAAACCCTCACATCCAGAAATCCTGAATGTCAGAGATGATGCAAAAGCTGTTTGCTAACTCCACTAACACAGATGTTTCTCATGGGTTTTGACTTGTATTTTATTACCGTGTTTTCAAATGTTACAAAACCCAGAAAAGGTATGATGGGAAGGACCTGACATTCAAGTGTGTGCTTTTTCAGAAGTTGTTTTGCTGAGCGGGAGGTTTTTGGAAGGACATTCTCATTCAAAGCTTGGTAACTTCCCTGGGAACAAACTATACATTGGTACTTTTTGCTACTGCTTGTTAGGGAACAAAAAAACCTTATATACCACTCTTGAATCAAATGTGCAGCTGAGAGGATCCACGCTGACAGGAATGACAAATTATTTTGTATATCCTGCTTTGTCTGTGAACACAAAATAATTTCTTGCTTATCTGTTTCAAAGGAAAACTACTACACCTGTGTATTCTGGTTAAAGTGTAAATCAGGATTCCCCTCTTGTTTCCATAAATGTAAATTAATTCTATCAAATTACTGAGTGTAAATCCAGTTAAAATTCACAATCAAATTATGTTTGCAAAGTTAAATAGATTTTCTAAAAATCCCCTCAAACCTCTAAAAATCAAGCCTTTGCCCACTTTGTGTGGACAAGACTGTCTTTCTACTGTATCTTAAACTATTCAAGCAAATTATATCTTCTTCTAGGCACTTAATGTTGTGGGTGATGTTTTTTAATGTGCTCACATATCGTACTAGATTTTAATCAAAACAGCCTCTCCATCAGTGTTAAACTGAAAAAACAAAAAAAATGGAACTGTCCCTGCTTTATTTATTTGTTAACAAGATCAGAGTTTTTTTCCATTTTGCTGATAACATTTCTGTGTTACTGTTTAACAATGACATATATGAAACATAATTAACATTACAAAGTTGCTAAATTAACTACTTTTTTCCAGGGAATTACGAAGAACTAGAAGAAAAAAACACAGGAGAGCCTAAATACAGGTTTTCTTCAATCTGTTGTCCTTCTAATTCTCTTATTAAAACTCTACCAAAGACAGAGACCAGACATTCTGCAGAAAACAAAGCAAAAAAAGAAGTAATGGGCCACCATTAAATATGTTGATTTTTCGATTGCAGTAGCAAGGAGTGATCTACAGTTACATGTTAAAGAAATTTACTTACAATAATATTATGAAAAATACATTTGAAAAATGGTTATCATTAAAAAAAAAAAATTGTCTGCTGATATCCTAATACCTACATAAGCAGACATCCAGCACTAGTCATATGGAAAGTTGTTAATTATCTAACTCCCTTTGATCTTCATTACTTTCTAGTTACCCAGAAAGACTAAATTCTATTCTCTGTATTCACAAGAAAATTCCCACCTGGTATTAATGGGATTATTGTGCTAGTTTGGTTAAAGATTCACATACAAGAGCTTTCTCAAAGAATCTCAGACATAAGCGCTTCCTGGCTTCTGTTTATTCCACTCTGACGCTACAGAATTTCTCATTCATTGAAGAATAAATTATCCTTTTGGAATCAAATAGTATTTTCAGATAGCTTTTAAATCACTCAGACATTTTATCTGATTATGCTGTCAAATAAAAGTTGCATTAAGTCGTAAGAGTTGCAAGAATTTACACCATAGGACTTGCAAAGCTCTCAGCAAGGTAGCTAGGGCGTGTAATGCCACAGTGATGTTGAAACACTTCACGATCTTTCAGAAGTCTGGAGAAACCGGTAAACATTCACAAAAGACACTACAAAGATGAAATAATTCATCTCACGAGGTTTAATACTCCAGCCACCACAGACACCTACCCATTAGCAAAGTCACTAAGAACATGACACCAAAAAAAAAAAAAAAAAAAAAAAAAAAAAAAAAAAAAAAAGAAGTATTCAGAATGTTGGATTATAGTGTAATTATTAATATTTACTCCTTTAATTAACAACTTTTCCATCACATCTTTGAGAAAGAGAACTAAATAAGTGAATTTTTCATTAAAATATTAAAAAGTCCTATTACATGACAATAGCATTACTACACATCCTGCTTTAATATGTGCCGTCTCGCACTCAGTCTGAAACTACGGCTAAAAATATAATGATGCCCACGAACAGCAGTAAATGCTATAGGTGCCAGAAATACACATATGTTGGCATCTTGCCATCTCAGTTACCAGAGCAGGCATAACTAAACACATTGGGAAAAGTACTAACTTCATCACTTCCATACTGTGGAAGGAATAACAAACTTGTAGAGATTTTACTTTCTTGCCATAAGATTATGCAAGATGCATAATCACCTGTATTGGACTGAATTTGATCTGTTGTTTTTCAGTGAGAAAATATGCAATCTCTATATTTTTTTAAAAAATCAGTGTTTGTATTTATATTGGATAAAATATTCTGACAACAGGACAGGAATAGAGACCTCTGTGCTGTCTCTCAAACAACCTAAAATGGGTATTGTCTCTGATACACTATCCTAGACCCAGTGAAACTTAAATTCCTTTCAAACTGTGGCCAGGCAGCAGTGGAAGAAGTGATCACCCTGACTGCAGGAGTCAGACACATTCTACAGAAGGCTCACCAATAAAACATTAGCAGAGAAATGCTACTTTGGCCCTTTGTCCAGCTGTGGAAATAGCTGAGCAGGATCCTTGCAGAGCTGCAGCTCTAGACTGGAGCCATGCCGCCCTCATAACATTTATTTTGAGCCATGCCACTCTCATAACATTTCCTTTGAGTCTGGCTTAAGTAATGGTTCCTCTCAGCTCATCATGTTGAGTCTGCTTATTCTCCATGAAAAGAAAAGTGCTCCCCTAGGGCCTGCTGCATCTCATCCTACCATAGATGTTTGAGAGCACCCTAACAATACCTCAATCTCTCAATTGACTATAAAGACATAGTGATTAAAATCAGGTGGAGATGTATACACAGCAGCCATCTAAAAAAGGCATTCAGGTTACCTTTTCTTCACTCCAAGGAGGGTGGACGTGGTGACGTGTCACAGTGAGGTTGGCAGAAGAGCTAGGAACACAGCCTGAGCCAGCAGCCAGCCACACTACCCATGAGGTCCTGTTTCAGTCCTGCAACCTTCTCCATGATCTGTTTTCTCAGATTGTTTTAATATTTTTGCAGTCACAACTTTCACATTTACACTGCAGACACAAGGCTCCATCTTTTACTATGTCTCATCTGTGGTTTTCTCCCTGACCCGTCTCCTGGATATCTGGTGAATCACTTGGACTGGAGGAGCCTTTGCGCACTAGAAGGAGAGTGGGGCTAGGAGGCAGCCTGAGTTTGTTGCAGAATGGAAACCAAAGCTAAAAAGTGCATGTACCCTTTAGCATCATCTATAACTGTCTGCATAAGGTTCAGCTGTCTGTGTTCTCCCCTTCACGTGTCTGCCTAGGTTATGTCTAATTGAAAAAAGTGTTTCTTTAGGGCAGGGATTGCCGAGTCCTTTATTTCTTTCTTATGCTCTACATAGGGCTGACATAAATATGAAATTATAATAATACTAAGAAGTTAAAGGCATCCTTTACAATTCTGTGATAATTTTTCACACAATTATGTGATTATTTTTATCAGTGTTGAAAATGGCTTTCCAAACTCAATCGGTTTTCTCTTGTTGCTAAACACAGTATTAATGCTACCATTCAGAGGGACAGAAAATTAGATGAGATTTCATCCATGCTTTTAGTTAGCATCAGCCTCAAACAGAAATTGCTTAATACTAATATTTTTCTAATTTCACCAGTTTGCTGCCAAAGCTTAATTTAGAAAAAAAAATCTGTGAACCAGACAACACTATTAAAAATAATTTCTAGAAACATGTAATTCTAAAGCAAACTTCAGTCAAAGGATCATGATCCTGATGGTCTTCACTCATGATTTAATACTTTGCTGTCTCAATTTTATTGCAGTAGCAATGCAATGATGCTAGAACTACACTGTAAATAAAACATGTCGAAATAACTTTAAATAAATAAATAACTCCATCACACAAACATCAGTCAAAAATGCAATTAAAAAGAGCATCTTGCTTTGTGTTGTAAAAATATGAAATACTACTCAGGACAGGCTGTTTCAAATAAAATTCTTCTCTATATTCAGCAACTCCAAGGTCAAAGTACTAGAACTTCATTTTTCAGAGTCAAAAGGATGATCTAAAAATTATTTGGTATGAAGACAACTCTGTTTCTCTACCTTGCATACAAAATCAAATTCAGTGTAGCTTGGTACATCTTGTATTTTCATTCATGCTCTCATTACAGCCCTGTGAAGTATAATAACTTATTATACATTCTCTTGAATCTTTTTGAAACAGCAAACAAAATGTAAAATGCAAAGGGCAAGAAAAGAAAGCACCAGGAATCTTACTAGAAAAATAGTATTCCCTTTCTTATCCTCCTTGTTCTAACCATGAACCACAGTGAGAACTGAACAGTGGTGGACATTGGAAAATAAAATTGAACTACAGGACTTTATGCAGCCTTAATGTCCCAGTATAGCAGTGATAAATTCTGAGTGCCGCCACAGCGTCACCTCTGTAATAATTACTCAAGCAATAGATATCTCATTAAAGACAACTAAGTGTCTCAGGAACAGTTTTTGCTATCCGAGTTAGTAATATATTGGAAAGAAATGACCCATCAGCTCTTCTCAAGTTCTTTGCTAACTTCAGTTCAACAGTCTAACATGTCTAGGACTAATAGCAAAAGTCACTCAGGCCTTCAATGCTCCTTGTCCTTGACTCAGTGTAAATGACCTAATTCTTCACAGAGCACTAGGTGAATTATTCACACAAGGCTCGAACCACAGACAAATCCAAAGGGTGAGCCACAGCATCACATGAAGGAGGTTTCTGGCCAAATACTTGTGACCCAGATTCCTTTCTTAACAGCTAAATTCAAAGGAGCAGACATCAAGCAGACTACAGGGAATCACCTCCCAAGTTAACCTTGCTGGCAGAAGACATTACAGTACAAGGACTTGTCATCAAAGTAGAGAAAATTTAATGTGAAAGCAGAAAGTGGAATCTTAATAGCAAATACTAATTTTCATCTATTAAAATGTTATAATGTGTATATACCTAATATTATATATGCTTGAAATACGGAAGTATTTCTTTCTTGTTTGGCCAAATTTCTCTCATCTTCTTAACAGAAACTTTAAATTTACAAAACAACTAGCTTCTGTTTCTTTTTCTGATGTCATTTTTGCAGAAAACATCTTCTAATTTGGAAAGTCATGCAGTTCTTACTTGGAAGTCTAAGAATATAAATCAGCAACGTTTTAACAATAAAAGGCCAGCGGGCTTTTTGCAAAGTCACTGAGAAGGGTGTTATAAAATGCATCTACTAATAGAAATTGCAAACCAAACATTTATTTACCTTTATGTAGTCTTAGCTAAACACTATTTGCTTTAGAGGAAATAGAGTGACTAGGCAGTCTCAGCAGCTTGAATGAAACATTAGGAGAGTGTACCTGCATGACAATAAGAAGGTCAAACACCAAGATAAAAGAGGCCAAGAAAGCTCTTGAGACCTCATCACTTGGCAGAAATCCGCGATTCAACTTGTCCCAGCTGATCCAGTCAGTAGTGATGACAAGCACAACTACAGAGGTCAGAGTAAAAAGAACCGTCCTGCAAGGAAAAAAAAATAGTTCAGAGAGAATACGACAGTAATGAAGATGCATCATTCTATTTTATGTCTTCTAATGGTCAACGAGTACTTTATCAGTACTCTTCTCCTGATGAAAAGAGAATGAAGAAAATTAAGTGTACAAACAAATCGTTTAATTCAAAATAGGAAAGCAGTCAGCTGTATCCGTGGTAAAAAGAAATTTAGTAGTTAGTAATAAGCATGTTGCAAAATTAGGCTGGAGTGTATCACTCTTGTTCTTCATTCCATATTTTTCATTGAAGATGCAAACCAATTAAGTAAAATAAGAAAGAAGTAAACTATACTAATGTACCAAGGACTATATGATATAGGCTGAATTCAAATGAACAATCTGAGATAACATTTTGTAAGGCAACAAAGATATTAGAACCTTGGAAATGTCTTTTCTCAGCTGTAGGAGCTATAGAGCACTAACTGTGAAGTCTGATTTTTACATAGAAACTTGTCTGTATGAAAGAAATTTTAATTGCAACAAATTAATCTTTACTTAATTCTGGGGTTTGTAGAAAGATTTTGCTTTGTGTCTCCTTTGTACAAGTTTTCAATACGTTTTATGGCATTGCTGAGAAGTCACTTAAGAGTGAATTACAAAAGTAATAAAGCCTCCCTATGAATGCTATGAGAAATCCAGAAGACACATATGGCTAATTCATACAATTCTGCAATATGATATTTAAGAAAATATCTTTCTAAGCTATCCCCTCAAAATAACTCTGCATCATTTCCAGTAGCACTTTGGTGATATCCTTCATAGTTGGCAGCAATGATTGATTGAATTCTTGGTTCCACGGAAGCAGGCAAATTTAGCTGGTAATTTGAGGGGGAGCAAGGCTTCTCCCAGTAGCCATAGCTGTCAGTAAACCTGTGCTATAATAGGGGCATATCAACATCTGAACGCACACACACAGCTAAATAATTGTGGCAGGGTGGAGTTTTTTTCTACAGCAATAGTCTCATATTCTTCAGCTACTGAGGGCTGTAAAACAATGTGAAGAATATTTCCCATGACACTTCCAAATGGGACAAATGCTCAGAAGAGTAAAAGAAAAATCTGTACACCAGTAGTCACAGGATACCAGTCTGTAGGCATTTCTTTTTATACATCAGCCTTGGCTGTGTCTGTGTAGGAAGGGAAAACAAATAGGCACATAAGCAGTAATGTACACATTTGGACTCCTAAATATCATTCTTCTGTGGCACGATAGGCTGCATTTTTTCACAATATAATGAGACACAAAATGACTTGATTGCTACTACCTTTACCTTTGAACATCTATTTTTATTCTTAATAAATAAATTCAGTTATATTCAACACCATGGTTGGCACCATCACCGTATCCCTTGAGTGTATTACCAGCATCTGGGTCAGAAAGAAACCAATGAAGCATATTAGACTTAACAGACCTAAGCAATATTCAAGCCTGCTTACCCTCAAAACATTTGCTTAACCATCACCTCACCTGTCAGTACCTGAACCTGACGGACTTTCCTACAGGCTCCACTTTGGCACATACGCAGAATGGTTTATTTCAGAAATGCTATTCATTAAGGTGTTTCTTGCATGCATATAATCTCTTGAGACCCACAAAGGTGTTTTTTCCTACATATTTTGCCTTCATATCTGAAATGCATATGGAGGTAAACGCTTTCACTTCAGCTGAGTACTCCATAAAGAAGACAGTCCTTAGTGCTTGTCTGCCAGCCAGAACAAGCTGCCCTGGCCGTTGGGTGCACCAGTTCTCCTCATTCTCATGCTGACGAACACACATCTCCTGGTGTATGGACTGTTTAGAAATGGATAATTCAAGTCTGAGTATCTTGCTATGGGAACCATGTACCCAGAAGTTATGCTCAACACTTTTCTGCTTCAGTCCTCTTGAATTATGCATTTGTGTTTTGGAGCAAAAGTTCAAAGCATGGAAGGTCAGACTCTGGCATGTATGCAAGCAAAGGCAGACATATTTGTATGCACGCTTCATTGGCATGCATGCAAAGACCCACGTGTGCGCTCAAGCCCTGATTTCCTTGAGGAAATGCATATGCACTTAAAAAATTGCTTCATTATTCATTCTCCAATGTCAAATAGGGAGGGAAGGGAACAGAAAATGGGCTGCTAATAGAATAGAAAATGTAAAACCAATAAAAAAAGGTTAGAAATAGACTTCTGAAATGGTTGCATTAAACAGCATAATTAGCACTCAGTTGTATTTTTGACCTATGATACTGGAACACAGCACAATATTTAATACATGCTTTTGGAGTTATTATAAACTGAATTTGTCTGGGTTAGAGATCAGTTCACTTCTTGGGAAAGTACAGCATTGCCCCAGTGTCCTGGGGATTAAGAGAAGAAGCTGAGGATTTCATTTAACTTGACATAACTTGTATCAGATGAACCTATGTGAACTACTCTGCAATATTCAGGCTGGTATAGTTTGTCCTTTATTCTGTAATGCACATTCCTGAGAACAAGCTACACCATCAAACTATTTACAGCAGTGCTAGCAGGACCTCTCTGTCTTCTGCTTGTAGAAGGGCTATGAGGGGAAAGGCAAGGGAGGATTGACTCTTCTCTGTACCAGACATTAAGAAATGCAACTTTTATCTGCTTCATATAGGTTATACGTTTTTACCTTTCACTTCTAATTCTAACTTGCTGTATTGAATGATTATGTGCCCAGCCTATTATACACTACAAGAGGTTATGCACAACACGGGCCAGAGGCTTGAGCAGGTTTCTGTCACTAGTGGTGAGTGCAGAAAATTTCTGATGGCAGACAGGGTCCTAACTTCAACCTTGCAGTCTCTGTCCTGGAGAAATGTCATTTCTGAAGGAGAACGGCCATGACACTTCACTGTCCTCTACACTAGTACAACCAATAGCAAGTACAGAACATCCACATGCCATCTTCAACAGAGTATGCCAAGAACCTGCTATTACTTTACCTACAATGTCTCCATACTGCCATCAAGAAAGCAGCCATCTGAAGTCTAGACAACCCAACCTCAATGAGTTCTTTGGAAAGCACTTAGAGGTGGGGAAATTCAGAGCTGGTGTGCTACGTCACCAGTCACACGGTCCCATCTCAGATGTCATCCACAGCTTTTCTCTGTGAGATCTCTTGAACTTTGCAAAAAGTCTGAGATGTTGGTCACATATGAATCTTCAGTGGAAGTCATAATTATGTGAACAGAAAAAGGCTATCACTGCAGCATAACGCAGACCGTGGTGGATTAACAGGTTGGAGAGATATGTTTAGAAAACAGGGCATCTTTGATTTGGGGCAGCCCAGTATACAGGTACTGACCTGCACTGTAGGTAGGCAATTTGTCTATGTAGAAAAGAAAAAGACTTATTCCTGGGATCTGCAAGGCAGTTATGGTCTTCTGAATGCGTAACTGCATTCAGATACACCAACAATTTTTTAGATCTATAACTAGCAAGAAATTAAGACCTTCTCCCATCATAACTCAGCACTTTGAGAACTCCTTTTTAAATAATGTGGCAGGGAACATCATAGTTGAGCCTGTGCAGCTTAGTGTGCAGACTGCCTGCTAGACCCAGGTTTGCAGTCTGTCTACCCAAAGGGAAATCCCACCATTGCCATATGAAATGCCACTAGCATCATTCCATGCCTGTGCAGTCCTTGGCTTGAGAGCACTGTGTGCCAGAGCAGCAGATGGACTCCTCTGAAACACAAAGTTGGGCTCTAGAGGAAGAGCTGCGAGAGACAGCCAGAAAGGGAGAGGAAGGGAATACCCATGTTTTGCCATCTACCACACCGGTGTCAGGTGTTGATGCAAACATAAGATTTTCTGGCTTTATTTCAAGGGAAAGGAGGGCCACATCATTTAGTTTTGCTTTCATTCCAAAATAACAGCACTGCCACCAGCCTTACAGGTGAAAAGTCTTCCTGGCTATATCTGTAAACTGCCCATGCAAGGGCACATATTCTTATCCCACAGAAACATCATAGGCCATGACACAGAAACACAGAATGGTTGATGTTGGAAGGGACCTCTGAAGGTCATCTAGCCCAACCACCCTGCTCAAGCAGGGACTCCTAGAGCACATGAACCAGGATTTTGTCCAGACGGTTTTTTAATATCTCCAGGGACGGAGATTCCACAACCTCTCTCGGCAACCTGTTCCAGTGCTCAGTCACCCTCACAGAAAAGAAGTTCTTCCTTGTGTTCAGGTGGAACTTCCTATGCTGCAGTTTATGCCGATTGCCTCTCGTCCTATTGTTGGGTGCCAATGAGAAGAGTCTGGCCCTGTCCTCTAGACACTCCCCCTCTAGATATTTATAAACATTAATCAGATCCCCTCTGAGCCATCTTTTCTCCAGGCTGAACAGGCACAGCTCCCTCAGCCTTTCCTCATATGAAAGATGCTCCAGTCCTTTAATCATCTTAGTTGCCCTTCACTGGACACACTCCAGGAGTTCCATGCAGTTCCTATACTGGGGAGCCCAGAACTGGACACAGTACACCAGGTGGGGCCTCACCAGGGCCGAGTAGAGGGGAAGAACCTCTCTCGACCTGCTAGTAACACTCTTCCTAACACAACCCAGGATACTGTCAGCCTTCCTGGCCCCAAGAGCACACTGCTGGCTCATATTTAACTTGTTGTCCACCAGGACTCCCAGGTCCTTCTCTGAAGGGCTGCTTTCCAGGAGGTCAGTCTCCAACCTGTCCTGGTGCCTGGGGTTATTCCTTCCCATATGCAGGACTCTACACTTTCCCTTGCTGAAACTCATGACAAAGGCAGTTCAAAGTGGAAGGCTGGCTTCCCTGTGCTGCTTCATTAGATCACCGTGCCAAGCATGAATTTACTGACGTTCTCAGAAGTCTTGGCTGAGAGAAGACACAATGTGCTGCAGTGATCTTAGGTCTGGCTGCTTGGGGACACCATCTTCTGCTGTTTTGAATGTCCCACCTCCCACACCAGGAATTCCCT